GTATCGAGAAAGAATAAACTAGTTTAATTAAGAAAGGACTTGTAGCACTGAAGTTCCTCAAGAAAAATTTATACCAGAAATTAACAAACAAGCAGATACGTGACAAACTGGAGTCAGAAGTGGGATAGAAAAAACAAAAAAAAAAAGATGGAAATGAGAAGTGGCAAATCAAACTACAGCTTAGCAGATTTGATGGCAGCAATACAAGAATGAGAAAAGAAACAAGAAGAGAGACAATAGCAGTGGCGAGAAAACCTGCAACAGTGGCAGCTCGAACAGCAAAATAAACAAGAGAGATTACAGCAGTTGTTGGAGGAAAAAGAAAAGAAACAAGAAGAACGAGAAAAGAAACGAGAGATTATAGCACTTGTTGGAGGAAAATGAAAGGAAACAAGAAGAACGAGAAAATAAACAAGAAGAGACTACAGCAGTGGTTGGAGGAGAAAGAAAATAAACAAGAAGAAGTCTACACGATTTTGAGAAGGAAGACAGTGAAGCCGTTAATGAAGTTACTACCACTGATGTGACTGTTACCGATAATGGGATATTTCCTGATGGATTAGATGAACCCCACGTGAAGCAAAAGCCAATGAGACAGAGACCAGAACAGAAAAAGATATGTCCTGTTAAATTAAGAGACTTTGTTGTATTTTAACTTTGTGTTGGTAAATTCTGTACATTTAATTAAGTTATTGTTAATTATCTATTGGTTAAATATAAGTGGCTATTGTTCGGGACGAACAATACTAAGGAAGGGGCAGTGTTACGACAGCGGAAGTCACGTGATGCTGGGAGCATGCATGCTGGAGTTTCTAGAAGGATCATGAATTTTCATGGCTACTCTAGTTTGTTCGAGGTACCCTCTTTTTTAGAATATAAGCCTAGTGAGAAAAACCAGCACAATTGAAGGGCATAGATAGATAGATTGAAGAGATAGATAATTGAGTCAAGCGAACAGTACGCACCGTAAGTAAAGTGTGTAAATCACTGTGATTTACAGCATGTGTTATAAAGGTTGTTAAGTTTAAAGTGACTGTGGAAACTCTGTGTATTACAAAGTTGTATCGAGAAAGAATTAACTAGTTTTGATTAAGGAGGGACTTGTATCGCTGAAGTTCCTCGGAAAGAATTTATACCGGATATTAACAAACAAGCAGATACGTAACAATATCTACACTAAACAGTCTTTTATATCATGACACATTTTGTAATTTAGTTTAATTTTAAATGCAATTATAAACTTAAAGAAGTTCCGAAGTCTTTCATAACATAAGTAGTGGAATAATAATAAAAATACTTGTAGTATACGTGTGTGGAATACCACTTATATTGTGAACAAAACTATCTTACTGTTGGGATGCCATATGTCAGTGATAAATTTCATCTTCGGTGGCTTCAAAGGATAATCCTTTGGAAAGAAAAGGTGGGCCTTAAAGAAACCTCCTTCACTGTAACAAAGAATCCTTCAGTTATTACACATATTCAATAGTGCTAGGTCTCAAAAAACATGTACAACAGCTCCATGTCATTCACCAAACATAAAACCTGGATTAATAATTTCATGTGCACATAAAATGCATGCATAGAATCAATTTCAATCCCCCCCCCCCATTTTTGCAATAACAGTTCAATGTTTGGGTTATTGTTCCAGCTATTCAAGTAATGATGTACTTCACCCTCTAATTAAACTAACCAATATTGAAAGATATCACTTTGTATTTGTAAATAAGCTTGTAATGCTAATGCAAAAGTATTTAGTTATAAAAGTGATAAAAATACCCATTTTCTAATCCAGTAATCACAAACTTGATGACCGAACAGTTACATCTGAACTTTAGTTTTAAGTTTAAGTAGCTAGCTTCTCACCTAGGATAATTACAGGAAAAGAAAAATGTAATTCAGATAACCTTTACTCAGGGTTGTAGATAGGATGATTTTGAGTGCTGGGTGGTAAAAACCAGTCTAGCCCAAAGATGCATGTACCTACAGCTGCCATCATCATACCCCCCCCCCTCGGCCAGGCAAAAACAAAAAAGGTCAATATTTTCTTGTTTATAATTTTAAAGACCGATTAAACACTCCACATGAGCAGTCACTAGGCAAACATGTATTATAAGGTGAACAACGAGGTTGAGTTTTATTTTTCTGATTGATCTATCTTTAACAGCAGGTAACTGATACATATTAGTCACAGTGAGATTAAAAAAAGTTTTTAAGCAAAAAACACATCGATATACTTTTATATTTTAGATATCTGTAAAATTTAGAAAATATTTTCACACACTACAAATCACAATTTTCCAAATTTGAATTGTATTTGACAATAAAGACACTGAAAAAATAATATAATTCTTTTTGTATATTAATTTTACCTTGTCTACCACAAAAATAATCCTTCCATTATATACTTAAGTCCTAGGCACTTAGTTATACAACACTGATGCCTACCCTGACATAACCATGATATTATGATAAAGAAACTGCATACCAACAGTCAGGAATATATAACTTTATACTGCAGTAATATTAAAGACAAGTATGCACTTTACAGTGTAACATTAAATTTTAATATTGATATTGTCCGATGTTCCACGCTAAGTACAAGTGAATTAGTATGGTGTGGGCCATTTTAGTTTCTCATGCAAGGTTTTTCCTGTGGACTTTTCTGGAAAAGTAATTTGACGAGAAGGTTATTTGCTTCGTGACTTTTCAGGAAAAGTGTTTGTTTCTAACAAGTTAATTGCAAAGTAAACTGTACTGCAATATCGACCAAAAAATTTTTAATGCTTATGGTGAACTTTTACTCTGTGACATTTAGCACTGGGTGGCAATAGTCATGTTACACAAGAGTGCTGGGTGGCCCTTGTCACCACCGTCCACCATAGCTACAACCCTGCCTTTACTTAAAAATGTAAATATTTAGAAGCTACTTAAAACAAACACCTAAGATTAAACTGGACAAAAATATTAGGCTTTTGTGAATCATATAAATTTTGTTATATTAAGAATCTTCAAATTTATTTTTATTTTCTGCATTAAGGTTTGTATGTAAACAACTATGTGATCCTTGAAAAGAATTGGAATAAGTAAGATTGCTGACTTAATTGTAAATTTAATGTAATATATGAGATGTCACTCACTGTTGTACATAGATGTAATTACAAATACTTTTAGTCATTATATAATTCATGATTTTCATACCAAATTCAATTGTTACCATTGCCTTTACAGTGTCATACAGTATTTCTTCAACATTGTATATGAAAACAAAATAAATATTCACAAACCTTACATCTTATATGCTGAAGCTTGAACACAAAATTCACACAACTATTGGAATACAATGCATGATGACCAACTTCAAAATCATAGCTTTAGGTTATGGTACACATAACATTAAAGCTGAAATGAATTGATTTTGATTTTCGAATATTAATTTTCCAAATTCAAACTGTATTTAAAAATAAAAAATAATACAATTCTTTTTGTATATAAATTTTACATTGTCTACCACAAAAATAATCCTTCCATTATGTACCTTACATAATCAA